CGCTATCACATGCTTCAGTGATATAGAAAAAGCAAATCTTAGTCAGCTACTTCCATTTGGGAAGAATAAGTCACAAATCAAAGGACATTGACTGAATGCCTTCAACCGGAACTGAAATAGTTTCAACTCTTACACCCAACTTAAACTTGAGGATAACATGGGACCAAATTTCCACCTAGATTCTAAATTCCCAAAACTCTGCATTGATACTCAAAACAGTACAAGAATTTGCAACAAGCCCATGAGGAATCACAACACAAGAAACCGGACTGGAATGAAACAGCATAATACATCATAAAACTTTTTATCAGGAGATACAAGTCTCGAGAGAAGCCTGGAAATACGCTTAAAATGGTTTTTTTTTTTTAAAAGAAAAAAAAGAAAAAACCCACAATTGGAAACTCAATGTCATACAATCTCGACATGGGCAACCTTAATTTCCTTTTTCACTTATGACCGTAAAGACAAGTAGTACATAAGACAAGACCTCAACAAGATGTTATCACTTCTCATCAGAAGATTTACTGAATGTAATAGGACATCAAAATCAGCAACATGCAATACCTAATTTCGAATACTCGCGTAGAGGAGATGACCACACGAAACTTCTAACAAAAATAAAGGAGCTCCAACTCCGAACAAAAAAAAAAGCACACCTTCTTCAACTGCGAAGAACAACAGCCAAAATGGACCGAAAAACGACTAAGCACCGTCGAATTACGGCGACGCTCGCTGTCACTGACGGTATTCCAGCTAACCCGACGAAGGAAACTCCGATCGATTCCGTGGAAATCGTAATTAGCCCCAAATATGCACTCCAACCCTAGAAATGCTCCGCGAGATCATTGAATTCGAGGAGGTAATCAATGATTCGGTGAGTCAAAGCAAAGAAGAAAACATATATACGTGGCTGTGAATTTAATGGCGGTGGCTGAAAAAGCAACAATTTTTGTCGAAGAAACTAACAAAAGCAAAGTGGAAAGAGTCAGTCGGCATTTTCGTATGATTTTTTTTTTAATCAGAAAAAATAGGAGAAGGGAATCATCAAGATCAAGCCTCCGCTTCTCTTCCACGTCCCCCCCCCCCCCCCCCTCTTCCCCC